TGGTGATTGGCGGCCATCTTGGGGCTGCAGCAAGAACTACTCTTACAAGCTGGTCTCCAAAACAGCTGGATCTCTTGGGTTTTCCAACATCCAGCCACCTGAACATAAGAACTGCCTTCCAGAGTCCATGTCGCCTGTCAACCCCATCAGAAGCTGGACTCGGATCGTCAGAAATGATAGATTTGTGCAACAGCAAGGAATGCTCTGACTGGGAAAGGTGGACTTGTTGCAGACTTGTTGACCGTTCCAGATGCTCATTTTTTTTCCTTCATTCTTCCTTCTGGTTTCCTGAATAAAGTTTTGACTCGTATAGGAAAAAAAGGGCAGGAAATAAGTCCTTAATTGAAGGAAATTACATTTAAACAGGAGAACAAATTTAATTATAAAAGATAATTAAGTGATTGCATAAGAGCCTGTTTAAATGACTTGAGGTGAGATCTGTTCTCAGATATTTAGCTGCTTTTTAACAACCTACTGAATTCTTGTCTGTCTAGCTTTTTATCACCAAAAAGCCGAAGAAGTCAGAGTATTTGTGTATTTATCTGTGTGTCTTTAACAAAATATCTCATGAACTAGTGGGTGCATTGATGCACATCTACAGCTGTTGGAGTCAGTCTAATTTAAGATGGCCACCACAGCCAATTGACCTCTGCAATCATATATTGGGCAAATACCATGAGATCTTTATCTTATGGTGAGTCTAAAGTTTGAATAAAAACTGATAATTGTAGTGATACACGTGAGGTACGTGTCACTTGTTGTATGACAAATATATGAATTATATATGCATACAATATTCACGAGTTCTTCATTTTTCTGACTGTAAATGCCGTGCATTGAATTTAACAGAAAAATGAACGAGAGACGTTATTTATCTTTGACCCATCAAATGAATGGAATCATTTATTTTCAAAATCAAAGTTTAACATCAAACATTTACATTAATTTGGCAAAATATGAAAATAATAACAGACAGTTTCACAGAAAATGAACTTCAAATCACTCGGCGGTGATTTGAGGACTTTGCTTCAGACATTTCTAAAAATATCTGTACTGATTTATGAGAGAGAGGTGAGTTTAAGAGTAAATTGAGATTTATCTTACAGAGGAATATGTGAGGGAGATTTAATCTGTTTAACCAGAAGTTGCACGCTCCGTCCGATCTCAGCTTCTCACGGTACACTTGGTCAAAATAGAACCATCTACCTGTTGACGATGAATCAGCGTTGGATGTAGTTCCTTTCTGACTCGTTTCAGCGTCTCCGTCGAGAGCTACCAAACCTTCAGAAAGTCGTGCGTTGATTAGCTCAAAACAGAATTATAATCCCAAAACCTCTGGATTCTTCATTGCTCTGAAACTTTCAGAACCGGCTGCATTCTCAATCTTCTCATTCTGTTAGACTATCGGACCTGTTGTCAGCTCCCAATCCAACATCTCTCAGAACTCTCAATCTAACTTGAACTGGGGAGTTGCCACATTTTATTTGGGTCGACTTCCTGTTCAATTTAGAGCTTTCTGATTCGTGGAAGGACCAGAAAGAGGAGTGGTTTTTGACGTAAGGTGTTTATCAACAGTCGAGGTCAGAGAATGAAACTTGTTTAACATACAGAAAAGATTATTGCAGAAGCAGCAGACTTTTTGGAGTCTACTCTTAGTAATCTTCTGAAAAAGTTTAAACATGACATTTCTTCTTCAGTAAACATTTTAGTTGACCGAAGACCAACCTTTCACATACTTACGACAGCTTGCTCATTTCAGACAGAAAAATCAAGAAAGGCATATTCAGGTGATTTCTGCTTTGAATGAGGAACAAAAATCATTACTTACTGTTTATGTAAAATAAAAATTAGTAGTTCTTTTCAACCTGTAAAGCATTGAGTGAACTAACACAATTTGATTATCAAAACATTTGTAAGACAGTAATGATTATAAAGAATTGTCTTTTCTGCTTGATTAATTCAAGAAAGAAAGTTCATCAGATGGTTCAGACTTATTCAGATCAATGAAAATAACAGTCTCTGTCCATCTGGTAGATTTGAGGTTATCTGGTTCACTACATAATCATTCAACGATTTGACCAAGAAAATACTTTGATTTAAAACCACAAATAAGAATAATGTTAAATAAGTTAAATAATAAGTTTTTGTTTTTAATTAGCGACGCACAAATGTCACCATTTTATTTATGCTGCAGTGCATTCTGGGTAAAACGACAGGTTGCTTCAGTGTGAGCTCCATCCAGCTTGAATATTAATTTTGGACATTATCAGATGTTCTGTACTTTTAATTTGAATTGTGCGTCGACAGAGAGAAGAATGAAGAAATGACTCAGCTTTCTAATGACGTTAGCTCCAGAGCTAATTAATTAAACATCACAAGTTGATCACGTTTGATTGTTTTGATCCATATCTAGCATAAGGACTAACTAATACAAAACATGTAATTTTATTGTTACATGTAACTTTTTAGCCTTGATTGCTTGTGTTTTTGTCTCCACTACAGCCAATGTATGTCATTTTGTTAAACTTTATTTATACAGGTAGTCTCATTGAGTCACAAGGACTCATTTTCAAGAGAGACCTGTTACAGACAGACAACATATAGAGTACAGACAACAATATAAAGCAATTAAAATAAAAATAGGGTTATAAAAACACTGTTACTGTTAGCAGCATGGTCCTGTCAGCAAAGTGGTTCTGTTAGCAGTGTGGTTCTGTTAACACTGTAGTCTTGTTAGCAGCATGGTAATGTTAGCAGTGTGGACCTGTTAGCAGCATGATCCTGTTAGCAGTGTGGTCCTGTTAGCAGCATGATCCTGTTAGCAGTGTGGTCCTGTTAGCAACATGATCCTGTTAGCAGTGTGGACCTGTTAGCAGCATGATCCTGTTAGCAGTGTGGTCCTGTTAGCAACATGATCCTGTTAGCAGTGTGGACCTGTTAGCAGCATGATC